ACATTTCTATACTGTTTTTTTTTTTTTTCCGTAACTGGTTGCTTTTCCGCAGACCACTTAGCACTCACTTGTGCACCCCTGGGGGTCCCAGGACTCTCTGATATAGATGATGCTTTTATAACACCTGGTTCTCTCACCCCCTTATAATACTGAATGATAGAAAATATTACATAATAATATATAGAGACAGGAACATTTTTTTTCTTATTTATTCGTGATATTGCCAAATCTTTTTTATTATGATATGAAGAAATGGAATTTAAAGACAGATTTTTTTTAATAGTCCTATTATCCTACATCGGTAATTTTCTCCTTCATTTTCTGTCCATCTTAGATGCTTAGTGTTTTGGTGATTTGGTAACGTCATGGTGGTTTACAAAATTCAAACAATAACGTTACATACATACAGTCCCACAGGTGGCGCAGTGTTCAGAATTGTGTCTTATTCTACTGTTTTTGTGCTGTGGCTCTAAGAGGCTGACTGTTGGAGAGTGCTGAGTATGTAACCGGCTGTTCTGTTAAACTGACGATATGTCAATGTTGATTTAATACGTAATCATTTAATATGAAATGTTGTAGATCTTTAAAATAGCATCATATGACCCCTTTTTAAACAGTAGTAATGTGAATCTTTTCTGTCATTGGGATTGTCCAGCTCTGTGGTCAAAAAGACTACTTTTTTGTAGTCACTTTTTAAGCACTCAAAATCATTACAGTACACGATGGGAGAGTATATTTGCATAATAATAATTTCAAATAGGGTTATTCAGTCCTAGTCAAGGAATTTGAATATTAAAACTGATTCCATTTCCTAATAATGTGCATCTTCACTGCTTTATATATATATATATATATATATATATATATATAGCTTATAGATCAGGGTTTTTCTTTTAGATACCATGGGCCCCCAAATATGATCATTGTGTGTAGGACCCCAATCTAAAATTTAAAAGGCATAGTTTCTTGTATAAAGACCCCATTTACACTGTGAAAAAAAAAATACTATTATAAATATGTCTAAAATATTATTTGGAAAGTTTTACGATTCAGGTACATTCATATTAATATATATATATATATATATATATATTTTTTTTTTTAATCTATGTATTTAAT